TCCTGACAGGCCAGGGGTGGTGGCTGGCTGCCAGGTGACTCTCCACCACTTCGGCCCTGCTAGTCTCTCTGGCCCAGAGAGAGTGTGGCCTTGGGCGGCGGTTCTTTCCGAGAGCCCCATGGCCGTCAATGAGAAGGGCCTGGTTGTGCTCGCCAGCCTCTCCTCGGGCCCTGGGCAGGCTCCTCGTGCTCAGCCAGCAACCCCCGGCTGGTGTGCCAGCCCGACTGCGGCACTGCCTGGGCCCCCTGCCCCCCCGCCACCTGCAGGGCAGGCGCAGGGCAGGCCAGCAGAGCCGCGTCTGTGGGACCAAGGCCTCCACCCAAGCGGGCTCCCCGTCCCTCCTCCGGCCTCCACGGGACCCTGGGGCTCTGCCTCCACCACTCACACGTGCTTCTGGCTCAGCAGCTGGCTCCACACCTCCACCACGAAGCCATCGAAATGCTGGCTCTGAAAGGACCCGGGACGGTGAGGACGGCCCGTGAGCAGGAGGGAAGCATGGGAGGCAGCCCCCGCGCCCACCACAAAGGTCACGGCCTGAGGCTCAAGCCACAGGCACCAAAGCGCCCCTCTGAGGGGGTCGTGGGGGTCCCCACAGACCACAGGAAGAGCGGCCAGGGCTCTCCTCTGTGCTGTCCACTCATGTCCCTCCCCACCCAACCCAAGCCCTGGGGCCTGAGGACAGCTGTGCGTCACCCGAGGCAGGGCCCCGCCTGGGGAGCGCCAGGCCTCACCTTGGCGACCAGGAGCAGGGTCCTGCTGAGCTCCTCGATCTCGTCCTCGCTGTCCCACACGCTCTGGAAGTCCTTGTGCGTCCAGTCCTCAAACAGGAGCCGAGGCACTGGGGGCACAGGCCCGCACAGGCAGCGTGACCCTCCTGTGCTCGGCCCCACCCAGAGTGACCATGGGCACCCACCGTGGTCATCCCAGCAGCTCATGGCCTGGTGAGGGCGGGCCCGGGGGTAGAAGGGTGGAGATGCCAACCCGTGTGCCCATCTCGCTGGTTCCGGCTGCCCAGACCCCACACTCTGCTCTTCGCTCCTGGCTCCCACTGGACCATCTCCCACCCAGACCCGCCCCTGCCCACGGCTCCCCACACCGCCAACCACATGTCTCCTCTAGCGCCTCCTCCTGGCTCCTGCTCCCAGCCTGCCCCCAACTCGCCAGACCCCACGGATCCCACTGCACTCTGGGACACTCCCTCACTAGCCAGCTGTGTTCTCCGGGACGGGGTGGGGTTGGTGTTACTCTCGGGCTTGGGCCCCAGACCCTCGCTCGTGAGTGAAGAAATTGGTGAAGGAGGACTGGCCATGCTGGGCTGAGGCCGGGTGGGCATAGGGGCATAGGGCCACAGGAACCCGGCTGGACCAGGGCCACGAAACGTTTCTGAGCGGGTGGGGGAGTGACCGATGCGCTGGATCACCCTGGGGCCCACTCATCCACTCACAGGAGGTCACACCAACTAGGCCTCCATCCCGTGGCCTGTGGCCTAAGGGCTGCTGCCATGACCACCTCCACGCCCTGGACTCACCTATACGGAGGCCCTTGGCCTGCTTCCGGATCGCACGCATCCACCCTATGGGGCAGGGAGAGGACAATTTGGGGACACAGCCCCACACCTACCCCCACGCAGGAAAACGCTGCACGACGGGAGAACAGCGGGGAGCTGATGGGGAGGTCTGGGGGCCGCCTCCCCACAGAGCAGCCTGGGCTGGCAGCTCAGACACTGGGACTGTTGCTTGGAGCTGAGGGGGTCCGGCAGCCACACTCTGACGCTGCCCTCCTGGCATCGGGGAGCTGCTCTGGGTCTCAAGGCTTTACAACTGGCTGACGTGTGTCCTCTCTGGACCCGGAAGGGGGACAGCCATGTAAGCTCAGGCTCAGGCCCACAAACGCGCTCCTCCCCGGACCCGCCGCGAGTTCTGTGATGGTCCCGTGGTGAGCGGGTCAGACAGGGCGCCCGGGAGAGAGCACATCTGCAGAGATGGCAGCTCCGCGGGGAGGGCCTCCCCTGCCGTCTCCGGTCAGCGGCACGGGGTGACCAGCACAGCCCTGGCTGAGCCAGAGGCCGCGGACACTGACGCTTCTCTTCTTCTCTTCACTCCAGGCTCAGCTTTCAGAGAAGCTGAACAGCCCCCCCAGACGTCCCTCCTGGACATCATGCACCACCCGCCAAGAGGACGGGGTGCAGGCCGACCCCGGGGCAGTCACCACACGCATGCTCGCTCAGCTTTCAGAGAAGCTGAACAGCCCCCCAAGACACCCCTCCTGGACATCATGCACCACCCGCCAAGAGGACGGGGTGCAGGCCGACCCCGGGCAGTCACCACACGCATGCTCACACGGACACACACATGCTCTCACACACACACACATGCTCTCACACACGGACACACGCATGCTCTCACACACGGACACACACATGCTCTCACACACGGACACACGCATGCTCTCACACACGGACACACACATGCTCTCACACACGGACACACGCATGCTCTCACACACGGAAACACGCATGCTCTCACACACGGACACACACATGCTCTCACACACAGACACACACATGCTCTCACACACGGACACACGCATGCTCTCACACACAGGCTCACACTCACACCCCCACTGGGCCGGGAGACGAACAGGTGAGAACCTTGGTCCACGTCGTGGAGGCCCGTGACCTCGAACAACTCGCGGCCATGCCTCTTCAGCTGCAGCCACACGGGTGAGATCAGCGTGAACTTGGCCCCAAAGACCTTGGTGACGTCGTAGCCGTGGCTGTTCCACTGGCGGAGGACAGAGGCCGGTGAGTCCCTGCAGCTGGCCAGGCAGACGAGCCCCCAGAGGACCCTGCGCCGTTCGGCTGCACCCCACGGCAGCGGGGCCTGGGGAGGTGAGCATGCAGACCCCAGCGCCGCCGTGCCCTTGGGACAACCCTGTCCGCCGGGGCCAGCTCACCGGAGTGACGTAGCCCAGGACGTCCCCAGCGAAGTGCCGCTCCCGGGCCTTGGCCGAGCAGTAGCTGCGATGCTCCAGAACCACGTCCTCGGCTCGGGGGTCCGTCACCACCAGCCCCCGGTCCTGGACAGGCTTCTCTGCAAACTGAGTCTGGAGCAAAGGGAACGGGGAAGCGTCAGTGCCCGCAGGCAGAGGCGGGACCCGGCAGAGCGGCCTCTCGGTTCAGCCAGGGGCTGTGCTGGTCGCCCTGTGCCGCTGACCGGGAGACGCTGCCGGGAGACGCAGGGAGAGGCCCGCCCGGCGGAGCTGACAGTCCCTGCAGACCCGCTCTGCCTCCCCGACTGGACTTCACAGATGATCCAGGACGAGCGCTGGTGCTGAAAGCAGCGGAAAGCGGGTGAGGGCCGAAATTTGGACACGGCACACGAGACAGGCCCAGGGCAGGGAGCTGCTCCCTGCGGCCGTCCTGTCAGCACACCGCCACGCCCCCCAGCCTCCCGCTCCCAGGCCACGTGGACACAGGGCCCCCGTGGGGAGAGAGAAGGTGCAAAGGGGCAGCCCTGCGGCCAGGCTCCCACCACCTTACCTTCTCCTGCAGGGTCTTGGAGGCAGCCTTTTTGGCGTCTGACTTTGACAGGGTGGTGTGAGCAGAGCCGCAGGCCAGAGCGAGCCAGAGCACGCGGAGGAGCGCCTTCATGGCGGGCAGTCGCAGGGGGTGCAAGCTCGGAGTCCAGGGGGCTGCAGAGAGAGCAGAGCGCTGGAGACCTCACAGCAGGGCCTGGGTCCTCAGGGCACCGGGCTGGGTACTGTGGCCCCAGGACACAGCCCTGCCCTGGACCAGCCCCAAGTGCCTGAGTCCAGCTTCCAGCACCGCCGGGCCCATTTCCCTCACAGACAGCCAGAGGGGCTTCCCTGCCTCCCTGCCTCGGGGCCATGCTGACCACTGCCGGCCCACTAGGAGAATGCTGGCTCTCCCTCCCCATCAAACCCAAAGAAGCCCGGCCAGCATGGCTCAGTGGTTGAGCATTGACCTATGAACCAGGAGGTCATGGTTCGATTCCGGGTCAGGGCACATGCCCGGGTTTCGGGCTCGATCTCCAGAGTGGAGTGTGCAGGAGGCAGCCACTCAATGATTCTCTTTCATCATTGAGGTTTCTATCCCTCCCTTTCTCTCTCTCTGAAAAAAAAAATACATATATTAAAAACAAAACGAAGAGGTCCGGTCAGAGGGCTTCACTGCGACTAACAGAGCCACGGAAACTGGAGAAGACGCGGGCGCCTGTTCACGTCACCTCGGAGTCGGGAGGCTGTTCCAGCTCCGTGCGCGACGCGACGCTAGAGGTCACAGAAAAAACACCAATAGAGCTGACCGCGTGAGAACACAAACTTCCGTTTAGAAGACAAAACAAAGGGTGTCCCAAAATTCACGCAAGAAGTAATGTTGATAGAAAACACAGGTTTATAATTAAAAATTGTAAATTTTTTATTGATTCATAAAGTATACAGTATAGGGTTATGTATGGAACAGCATATTGGGTAAATGGCCTCCACGGCTTTGCTGGCACATACGCACTCTTTTGTTGAAAATTTCCATGACCGTTTTGCATAAATGTGGCTGAATTTCGTTGATACAGCGCTCAATTTCCTCCTTCAAGGCGTGGGTGGTCGTGGGCTCGTTGGCATAAATCTAGACTTCAAAAAACCCCAAAGAAAAAAGTCCAACGGTGTTAAATCGCATGATCTGGGCGGCCAATTCTGATCACCAAAACGGGAAACTACATGACCAGGAAATGACTCACGCAGTAATTGAATTGTTTCTCGGGCTGTATGGCATGTGGCACCGTCTTGTTGAAACCACATGTCGTCCACATCCATATCTTGCAATTTAGGCACAAAAAACTGGATTATCATGTCGCGATAGCGAGCACCATTAACTGTTATTGCCTGAGCAGCTGCATTTTCGAAGAAGGATGGTCCGATGATGCCTCCAGCGCCAAATCCGCACCAAACAGTGACACGTTGTGATGCATTTGTTTCTCAACAATCACTCGTGGATTTCCTGAACCCCAAATGTGACAATTTTGTCGATTAATCAAGCCATCAAGATGAAAATGAGCCTCATCGCTGAAGATGATTTTGTTCAAAAAATCAGCATCCACTTCATTGTTTTTAAAATATTGCTCAACAATGAAAACGCGTCGTTCTTTCGTGTAGCGCTCCATTTTTAATAACCCTGAACTGTCAGCTGTCACGCTTTTTTTTTCCGTTGGCAACACTTTACGGCACAAATGGCGTAAAATTCAAATCTTGCGTGAATTTTGGGACACCCTTTACATATGCATCTACAGTAATAAAAGTATAATATGCAAATCGACCGAAAGACTGAACAGCAGAACGACTGTCCGGACGACCTTCCAGACAACCACGCTGTGACACCCACTGGCGCCAGGCCAGCCAAGGTAGGTGCGATGCGATTGGTGAGGGGCCTGGCCATCGCCCCATGATCGCCCTGTAGAGGGAGGCCCAGGCTACCCAGTGGCAGCGCTGCGGCGGGTGGGCGGGGCCTCGCTCTGTAGGGGCGATGGATCACAGGGCTCCCGGACTGTGAGAGGGCACAGGCTGAGCTGAGGGACCCCCGCTCCAGTGCACCAATTTTGTGCACTGGGCCTCTAGGACACATACACGTGTGTATATGCATTCACATAAGGAATATACAAAGAAACAATGAGGAAAACAAGTACTCAGAACACACTTGCCAGCAGATTCCTACCCATTATCTATGCATAACACCTAAAGGGCTCTCTCTTACAAATCAGAGAGATACTCGTGAAAAATGCCCACTACCTGCTAAGTGGGGACGTGAAGAGGAGGAAGACACAAGCCCCAGCCCCAGAGGCTTCCCCGGACAGAGGAAAGGACGCTGAGTAAGGCAGTGTGTCCACCCGGCGTGTGTGAGCTCGAGGCTGAGGCACCGGAGGCGCCAGGGCAGCACCTCTCAGCTGTTTCTGGGAGGTCAGGCTGGAGAAACCTTCCTGGGTGACAATCTGCCCGTGAACATTATACTTTCCAACACGTTTCCTCTCGCGACAGACCCCGCTTTGGAAACGCCCCGCCCTCGTGGGAGACACGGAGGATGTCTGTGGCAGAGAGCAGCCTGCAGCTCCTCCTGCTGGGACGGGGCGGGCGCTCGGCTGTGCAGAGGCACTGGCTCCACCAACGGCAGGAAGCGCACGCACACACGCTGGCACGCAGCTCCTCCACCGAGGACAGTAAGGAGGGGGACGCTGACAGGCGGGCCGTGCTGGGTCCTCCTGGGCGTCACCCGCGTTTTCTCCTTCCCGCACGGACTTGCACTGGCTGTGCAGTCAGCTAGCCCTCGCTCCCGGCTCCTCCCAGATCCCACCTCGTCCTTCCCTCGGGGCAGCTGAGTGACAAGCAGCCGGCCTGGCTGCCGTCCTCACGTAAGAGGTGCAGGTGTGGCCCTGGCCAGTGTGGCTCCGTGGGCTGGAGCACTGTCTCTACACCAAAAGGTCGTGGGCTTGATTCCATCAGGCCACACACCCAGGCTGTGGGTTCGGTCCTCGGTTGGGGTGTGTGTGGGAGGCAACTGATCTGTTTCACCCTCATATTGAAGGTTCTCTCACTCTCCCTCCCCCGTAATCAATAAAAATCATGTCCTCAGGTCAAGATAAAAAAAAAAAAGATGCACAGGTGTAAAGAGCACGTGGGCCCAACTGGTCCTGGCAAGTGCTCCCTCCAGCCCAGCCCGGGGGCCGCCCCCATCCCCGCGGCTGGCATCGCATTCCTGGCCAGGCAGGGTGTGCCTGTCGGAGTGGACACAGCCAGGCCCCCCGACTATCCTTTCAACCTGCCCCCCCTCCCAGAGCTGCACAGGCTGCGCTATTCTGGGCTGTCACTCCCCCGGGTGAGACCGGTGCCCTGGTGCAGACTGGGGGGCCCAGGCAGCATCAGAATCAAGGACTGCAGCCTCTGCCATACCACCCGCCCCAGCCCAGCATCTAGCCACCACAGCGGGGAGGCTGGACTCCTCGGGCACAGCCCCAGGTCTGGAAGGGCCTGAGGGAGAGGGCTCTGGCCATGGCAGGGGCAGGCTGCCCAGAATTACCCATCACCCCCCTGGACAGACTGAGACTGCAGCTGCTAAGCTGTGAGGGGTCAGCTCCTGGCAGCTGGGCCACGGTGGGGCCGGACAGGCCTGAATGATGTGCTTCCACACGCTAGAGAACGGAGGCGAGGGCCGTGCACGGGAGGGACCTGCTGGCAGGAGCTACATGGAGCGGCGGGAGGGGGCCCACTCTGCGAGGCACCGCTTTGGCCCCAGGCCCCCTCCATGACCACAGGCGTCTCCTCGGCTCCAGGGTAGGGGCTTGGGTCACCGAGGACGGAAAGGAATGGAAACGAAGCAGGAAGTGCTCCTACAGCAGTAACCTGCAGGCTCGATGGTGCCCTACCACCCTCCTGCCGCCCCTCCTGCTGTCCTGCACATGGT